TATATATATATATATATTTATATATATATATATATATATATATATTTATATATACAAATTTTATCATTTTAAAAGATTTTACATGATCAACAGCTACTTTACTGGTAGAGATAATTTTTTTATTATTAAGAAAAATCTTGAAAACTATTCTTCCAGCAAGTTTTATCCCAGTTTTCTCATGCATAGGACAAGTAAAAGTTTGAAAAGAGTCATAAAAGTGGTTTAATAAATTTTCCAAAGCTTGTCGTGCATGTAAATTAAATTTCTTTATTTTATTATAAGAGTTTGCTATGATTGACTAATCATAGCAAAGGATGTGCAAACATAATCCAAAAGTAATGGTGGAGGAATAGTGAGACCACCCCTAGAAATAATTTTTAAATAAGTATGTTCAAGATTGCTTTTATCAATATTGACACAACATAAAAATTCTTTACAACATTTACCAAAACTTTTTTTAAGTTTTTTTGCTATATAACCAGCAGTATGAGCACCTACTTTCCTACTTTCTGGTGCAAGTGTCATGATTTCTGGAGTATACTGAACTTTATCAATATCAAGAAAAAAAATTTTCAAGTCTGTTAAGTTATTTTCTTACTCAAGAGGTACTTTCAAACTATCATCAAAGTTAATAATTTCTTTAACTATACTTTTAATATTTTAATATTTTTTCAGAAATAGTGACATCTTTTAAACCCACCAAAAATCTTCCACGGCTCATTTGTCCATATTGTCTAAATCTCCTTTCTAAAGGGTCACTTTGAAATCTGGCAGATAAAACAAAGTGATATCCATCATTAAGCAAGTCCTCGATCAATGAGGCATGACTATTAAGTGTTCTTATTAGTGCTGCAGCTGTCTGAACACTTAAAGTAAACTTCTCACAGTTTGGTATCTTTTGTGATTGCCGAACTTCAACCCAATGTGCCATTTCCCTAAGAAATTAAGGTTTTTTATCACCAGAAACGACTGCATTACCTAAAATATTACATGTTGAATACTGACATTTAGAATTTGATAAAACCCACCACTTGTTAAATAATGTAAGAAAATTTGCACTACTTTTAAGATCAGGAAAATATGAGTGAATCGCTGCAGATGTAATTTCATCGAAAATTGCAAGTGTTAAAGAAACATTTTGTTTAAAATCGCCAGGATCTAACACTTTTATTGTTATTTTCGGTGCTTTACGCAAACCAGCATCAAGAGCGAGGTCTTTTTCATAAATATTGTGGAAGGTACTCCATTTAATTTCTCCCCCACATACAATTATAGGATCTTTAAATCCATTAAACTTAAAATCTAGAAATCTTTTAGAATTTAACAAATTATTTCTGATGTTTTTATTAAGATGTACAACATTAAAACAGAGGTAAATTTTTTTTAAATTGTAAATACAAAACAAATCTTCGGCTTGTTGATTCGATGCACATAGGATTTTTTTAAAATAAGAAACATTAGCGGAATGGTTGTAACACACAATAACTCTAACATTAAATTCACATTTAGTTAAAATACGAACACATTCAAAAATTTCTTGTTTTTTCAGGAGACTTTTTGATCACATATGGAATATATTGTTTCAGGCTAACTATCATAAAACAAACTATTCCCTTATACATTTTTCCAGACTCATTACTACCAATCATCTCTCCAGCAAAATATTCCTCACATTTTTGCAAGTATATTTCATCAAAAATCAACCAAATGTCTTGAGATATCTTACCTTCTAATTTTAAACATTTTACACAACTTAAAGGCTTTAAGTTGTGCAAAATGTTTAAAATGTTTAAAAAAAATAACTATTAGAAATATTGATGCTTTAATAAAGCATCAATATTTCCACTAGTTATTTTTTTAAGTAATGATAGTGATGGTAAAGGCAATTCTTCACGCAAAAGTTGGTATGACTGCATAGAAGTATATCGTATTATCAGTGAATATCTTATAATATTGGCTGAATAAATAGGTTTTTTCATATATTTAATTTGCTGCAATTCAGTCAATACAGATGAAAATTGTTCGGCTAGTGATTTAATGAAGGCAGGAATATTATGAAGCATACTTTTACAAGGTAAACAACAATTTCTTCCTTTACGAAACCACTGAGGCAATGGCAGAGGTGAACCTTTGTAAAATAATTTAACATGTATCTCATTGTTTACACGAATGCTCTCAGTAACGTCGGGAGTAAATAAAGTATTATGACTCAATTCATAAAAAAAAACATGATCATCATACTTCAAGAATGAAAAACTATCTGGAGCAAAACTTTCAGTAATATCGTCAAAGCTATTAATCAAATCATTCAACAAAAACTGTTCATATTGATCTGGCTGAAATATTCTTTTAGTTGGTGATTTTCTTAATGAATTAGAAAATTTTATAAGTTGTGATGAACCTTTTTCAGTCAAATTTGTGCAGTCAATAAAAGTTGGAATAGGCTTTATTTTTTTTTATTAATCTAAAGCATTGATTCTTGTTACCTTTCTTATAATATTTTTTTTCAAAATGTTTGATGCATATAACGGAAGAATAAGTAGGTGTCCAATCTTTTCTATTTACAAATTTAATCCAATTTTTTTTGAACTCTTCATTTTTTGGAAACGAAAATACTACTGTAGATACTTCACCATAATTATGATAATTTGAACGACAGTTTACAACGCAAAATTTCGTCACATTAGAATTATATGGCTCTATCTGTCTTTTTTTATGTTGTGAGAACTTAAGTTTCAATATTTATTTAATACATGTTTTACAGTTGTTATTCATTATAATTATAAATTATAAGTTGTTTATGTTATCTATATTTCATTATTTAATATATTTTATATTAAACCACTTAAAAAATGATATATAATATATCATTTTTTAAGTGGTTTGTTTTTATTATTAATTATTAATTAAAACTTTGATTGTTAAATTCTTTCAACATAAAACAAGGCAGATAGAACCCTATAATTCTCATGCGATGATTTGTTAACCATCTTTTTGAACTTACAAAGTTGCTTTTTTAAAAACGCTTTTCAAGAAAACTGGCCTTCTATTTTTTGAATACAAAATATCCGGTCGTATAAGTAAAGTAGGCCACGTTTTGAAACCTGGTAAACAGTAATTTGAAACCTGTTAAACAGTAATTTTAAGGCGAGTTTCCACTCATCCGTTTTTCAACGGGAACAGGATAAGAAAGCAAAAAATAATCACGTGAGCATGCGTAATAAAAGTTTTTATTTGTCCGAAAGAAATCTACGCATGCTCGCGTGATTATTTTTCCGTTCCCTTTCCTTTTACCGTAGAAAAACGGATGAGTGGAAACTCACCATAAGACTTCCGAGCTACACCAGGTTTCAGACATGCACATTAGACTAAAAATGCTAAATGACTCTTTTATATTTGTACAAAAGTTTTCAAAATTTTTTGTTAAGCTTCTTATATTAACATGCAAAATGTTAAAATTATTTGAAATACAAAAAATTCTTCAATCTCATTAAAATAACAATACAAGTAGTTGGTTTATTTATGCACATGCTTTGATAAAAAAATTATGGACCGGGTCCGATTTGAAGTTGTCTAACAAATCGTCAGTTTAAAAAAACTCAAAAGTGTTTAAACCCGAATTTTTTGAGTTGTTCGAATCCATTTTTTTTTTTTATTAGTTGTTATTATTTGATAAATAAAATAATTTCTTTTTGTAAATCCCGTGTTACTGGTTTATTAAAAACAACTTTCGCATACTTACCTTTTTGTCTTAGGCCTTAAGCGTCTGTAAACAATTTTTTATGAAGTCGACTTGTTCGTCCGCAAAAATCTTTGTTAATAAAAAAGCGATCATTCCAAAGTTACATTTTGATATATTTTTCGAGGATAGCTGTTTTGTCTTTATAATTAAGGAGTTTTACAATGATTGTTCTGTGTTTTTTATTATTTTCACTTTCATCTTTTTTTTAACTCGATGAGCCGGTTCAATAACAAAATTGTCTTTAGTTTCAAGTTTTGTTAATAGTAATTCTTTATTTTTGCAATCATTCCAACTTTCATTATCATATTCATCAATCCCGTTTATTCTCAAATTATTCCGTCTGCTTCTGTCTTCAATATTTAAGGCAAGAGTATTTTATTTTCGAGTGTTTAAAGTTTTAAATTTTTATTGAAGTATTGGAAGTTAAAATATTATATGCACTTATTTGCAATTTAAAATAAAAGTCCTAGTTAAGCAAAATTTTTTGCCGAAAGAACCTCAAAAAACAGTTAGCGAATGGTCCGACTTAACCAGGGTACAACTGAAGCGGATAATTTTACAGTAAGTTGATAGAGAATGTTCAAGGGGAATTAAAAACCCGTCTGACTTGTAAAAGTCCGACTTATCCAGGGTCCGAGTTAACGGGATTCAACTATTTATAAAAATTAGATAAAGAAATGCCTTTTTTTAAAGGTTTCGCAATCAAATTATAAACGTATGTATGCATCAAATAAAAATATATGATTTTTTAAAAATAGAAACTTGGTTGTTGGTAATTATCAAAATTTAAAATTTTTTTTGCATATACATTTTATCAAACTCTAAACATTGAGATTATTAGAGAAAAAAAGCTTATATGTCGGTAGCTAAAATCCTATGATATTTTAATATTGAATTTAATGTAGCCACATAGACCTAGAAAGACTCGTATTTTTACGGTTCCGGTAGCTGACCGGTAAAAATACGAGTTTATCATAATACATTAATATATGCAAGTGAATTTTTTAAATGAGGTATTACCATAACCTAAACTTGATTAAAATTGAGATAGATTAGATGTCTTTTAAACAAACACCAATTTCAAAATACAAAAAGTTGCAATTTTTATAGTAATTTTTTTTTTTTTTTCATTTTAAATAAGCGAAATCTTTTTGATGCAGAGTTCAAAACATCTTTCATATCAATCTGACAAAAAAAAATTATTATTATTATTTTATAATACATGATAATAAATATTATTTATTTATAAATATTTTACCTTGAAATTTCATAAAAACTAAAAAAGTGAATAGCATTTTTTTTGTCTTGAAGTTTGTTTATGATGATGGCAAACAATATCTATAAACAGTAAAATCAACATTGTTATTTTTTAAATAAATACAGCTTTTTTTTTATGATTAAAATAAAGATAAAAGTTGAGCCTAGCTGAATACAATTTTTTTTTTTACGTTTTTATTTATTATTGTTTTTGTTCAATTAATAATATCAGTTATAGATATACTAAACTTGCTGAAAATTGTATCATTTGAAAAAAAAGTTATAGTATTGAAAATTATATAATTTAAGTATATTTAAAGATTTTAATATGTTGAGATTTTTAAAAAATTTTCTTACATATTTACCAAAAAAAATTTAGTTATCAAGAAATGTAAATTTAATCAATTGTCAATACCGATTTGAATGGTTGACTTATTAATAATATTCAAAAACAATAACTTTTAAAGCAATACTTTGACAATAGTAAATTATATAACTATAAATAATTGATAACAACAACTTCAAAAACTGAAAGTTATGAGTACAGTCTTTTTTTTCAACCACCAATAACCCAGCAAACAATAGACGTCTTTTAGACCGTCTAAATATGGTCTAATTTGTATCTATTGCCGATACGTATATTTTAGACGTATATTAAAGATCGAAAAGACGTCTGATTCTAGAGATACTATTTTTGCTCTGTTATAGATGCATATTAGATGCATAAAATAGATCGTGCATAGATATTTTTTTTTTCATCTAAACTTAGATGTCTATAAGATGTCTTTTATAGATTTGTTATAAAAAAAAGAAACTTATTTTACGGAGCGATAATTATAAATGACCGCCATTTAAAAACCATGCGGAAACTTATTTCGAAAAAAGCATGAAGATTTTAACCTATAGAAGACATCAATTATTATTTCTTTCGATAAACTTTAAATAATAAAATAACATGCTATTATAGTTCACAAAATATTTCGATGATTTGATGCTTAGCATGTTTGCTAAAGTCCTTGTGATTTGAAATTTATTTTGCAGAAATATTATAAAATTAATAATTTCAAGTTGGTATTTTTATTTCTAGAATAAAAGATAATGTAATTAAAATAAATGTATATATATACATACATATATGAGTGTTTTTAAATAACACAAAAGATTGTTTTATTGCACTTATCGTTTTTATCGAGAAACCAAGATTCATTTATGTCTTTTTCAAAAAAGGGCATACGAAAAGAGACGCAGTAGACGTGTCCAAAAGAATTATTAAAAATACTAGAATTTTCATCAGTACATATAGAAAAAAAATCGAATGTTGGACCTTCTAAAAAAATGATTTCTTATCTTGCGAAAATCTAAAAGAATATTTTGACCATCATGATTCATCGATTTTGTACAATGAATACTCTTATGACCAAAAGCCTAATGAGTATAAGCATAACCCAACTTTAAAGGAAAGTTTTTCTGCTCGTTTTTCTAACCAAGTAATGTTGCACTTAACAAGTGGATTGACAAAGAATAGCAATAAATTGTCCCAAAAAAAACTATAATCATGCACTGAAAAACAACCTTTCAACAAAAGGATGGCACAAATTTCCATTGATAAAGTGTAAGATAACAGATGGTCAGTATCTAACTTGTTTTGTGTTTTTTTTAAAGGTAACTTAACTACTTTTTTGTAGCAAAATGTTTTATAATTAGATTCACTTTCATGTTGTGAAGAATACAACTTTTTACATCAGATGAGATATATGTTAAACAAAGCATTAAAAATAAGAATAACAAATCATACCCCTCTTTATTGCCAGAACCTCCGCCACCTATTATAAATAAGCCCAATGCTAAAAGTATAACACAAATATCATAATTTTTTCTTAATGGTTTATAAACTGAAAAAGGTTCTTGTTTAATTTGATCTGAATAATATCTATCTAGCTATTAGTCTTTTTTATGTATTACTAAGATTTTCCTTTTATTTTAATTATTTGGGTGTCCTATTTTATGTAATGTTGTTAAATTGGTTACATATATTTATATCGTTGACAACATTCTATTGTATTAAATAATCCTTTAATTAACTTGATATAAAAGTTGAAAATTGATTGAAAGCATGCTGAAATTGTTTGAATTCAGAAATTGAAAGAGTACATAATTAGTTGAAAGATTAAATTAAGTAACAGGTATGGTTGAGGGATTATTATAGTTAATTATAATTATTTCTTTTGAATAGAGTTGTTATCAGATTCAGAGATTGAAGATGTTTTTTCTTCACATTTTATTGATGAACACAATAAAACCAAGCAAAGTTCACATTGTCAAAGAGTTTTAAGTTTTAATGTGAGTAATTTTGGTTTTTACACCACTGAATGTTAATGTGGAGGTCTTTTTTTTGAATTTGTTTTTGTATTAAAATAATTGTAAAAGATAGGTATAAAAGAATAGAAATGGATTATTTATAATATTATGATCCGATAAATCATGTGTGTAGCATTTGGTTAACTTTACCTTTAGTAGTTAAACAAAATTCTTTAATAGCGTAACCTTTTACAGGAGGAATTGCTCTTGAGTCAAGCCAAGTCAAGTTATCACCAGGGCTGTGGAGTCTGAGTTGCGGAGTTAAGACATTTTCAGCGAAGTTCTAGTCGCTAAACAAAATCGCGACTCTGACTCCAATAGTAAAACTTCTCGGTATTGTACGTGCATGTACAAAACATCCAATTAACCTTATGTTCATACTAAACCTCAAAGAACGTTTTATAAATTTGTCAAAAAAGAAATTTTTAACTTATCCCGTAATATTTTTTAAAGAGTTTGAAGAATTTCAGAATCAAAAATATTGCTTTGGAGTTGTAATCGAAGTTAAAGTTAGAGTCGGAGTCGGAGTTGTGCTCAAAAAGTTTCAACAACTGGAGTCGGAGTCATTACTTTTTTTTTACAACTTCACACCCCTGGTTATCAGTAACGGTTTGGCATAAATCTGAATATTATTTGTTGTTGTTTATTTGTCAAAACTAAATAAGAATTTCTGTAAAACTTGAATGTTTAATTTATTTTTAGTGGGTTTACCTATAACTCGAGTAGATTATTTTTTTTATTACATTATTATTGCAAAGTAGTTTATTTAGTCAAAATTATTTTTTATTAGGTTTCCAATCTGCCTCTTTTGCCTTTGTCTGATTCTACAGATAAAGTTTTAGCTGATTTAAAAAGTAGGTTTTCCAAAATATTATGGCAACTTCTGCGATGGAGTAATAAAAAAAGTACATGTATTTTTAAAATTTTAGTTTGAGTTACTCAAGCATAGTTTGAATTTTAAAGTTGTTATAACATTGTTTTGCTATTTGGTTTTATGAACTAAATATGTTAATCAATCTTTTTATTCTTGTTTGTAAAGATGCAAAATGTTATTCTCAAGGAGCTTGCAGAAATAAAAGTTTTTTTAAAAGAAGTTATAGAAATTGAGTTTCAGGCTACTGGGGTGAAGTTGCTAGAATCAGTGGACGAAGTGGTTACACTAGATAACAAACTAAAAGATAAAACTGAGTATACTAATTTGGTATAATCTAATTATCTTAATTTTTAATAAGTTTGTTTAAATTTGGTTTATTAGTTTAGAATCTAAATGAAAAGTATTTGTAAATGAACTAAAATAACTAACTTGTGTTAGACTCAATATGTTGTAAAGAGATTTAAGTTACACTAATTTTTATTACATTTATTTCAGCTTGATAGTTTGAAAAAGATTGGTGGTAGAAAGCTAAGAGAACATGTTTTTTTGATCATGAAAAGGTAAATGATTATGTTTTTATTAATTATTAGAAATATGATTAAAAAAGACCAAAGACAATTCATTTTGACTATTATTTGTTATGGATTTATTTTTAACATGACAATTTGATAAACTCGGTAGCTTCACTTTAGGTGTTTAAGTTTGTTTGTGTGCTAAAGTAAGTGTAATGCTAAACCTTGTTTAGCATTTTATTTTCAAATTTAATGCTTATACCTTTCATAGTTTTAAGCATTCATATATTAAATTATATATTAATTTATTACATATATTAAAATAAAAATCTTTGTAAATATATTTCAGTTTATTGTTAAAATATTTATCAGGTTATTTTCGAATCAGTTACAGTCCAAATTAAAACGAAAAGGAAATGGGGAAAAGATAAACTTAGAAAATCTAGTAAATATATGGAGTGTTTTACGAGGTATAGTTTTAATAGTATTTACAAAACTGATATCTGTATTAAAAAGATATTCTTCGACTTTATTTTGTCATGCTTGAATTTTTGTATCAATAATACAAGTTCCTTTAGTTTTTTCATAAAACAATTGTTGTTTATTGTTGTATCTGGCTGAGATACAAATCTTTTATATATATATATATTTTATATATATATATATATATATATATATATATATATATATATATATATATATATATATATATATATATATATATATATATATATATATATATATATATATATATATATATACATATATCTGTGTGTGTGTGTGTATATATATGTGTGTATGTGTGTATATATATATATATATATATATATATATATATATATATATATATATATATATATATATATATATATATGTGTGTGTGTATATATATATATATGTGTATGTGTATATATATATATATATATATATATATATATATATATATATATATATATATATATATATATATATATATATATATATATATATATAACATTTCACAAAAATAGATTATTCAGAATTCTACATGTCTTTTAAAGTTATTTAAATATCATTAATGTATATATTTTAGATATCGGCGACGTGGAAGATGATGTTGACGGCAATGCAGAAATATAGTTTTTTATGTATATTTTTGTGAATAAAAACTAAGTAATTTGAGTTAAAATGTTTCTTTACTTATTTAATTTAATCATTTTTTATGACTAATTTAACCGCTATAACACCTTTGTATCAAACAAGACCCAGCAAACAAAAAGATATCTAAAATGCATCTAATATGCATCTAAAAACTGGTCTAAACGACGTCTAAAATCACGTCGTCAACAGGACATAAATAGATTTCTATCTTATAGATGTCTTTTAGATGCATCTTATTTGACACAAATAATTGCCTTAAATGCATAAAAGATGTGAAATATACATCTTACAGATGCATATTATATGTATAAAATACGTCTCTTAAATAGATGTCTAAGGCGCGTTTAAAAAAGATAGATAATAGATAATTTTTTAGTTAATAATAGCTCTTTTATGCATCTAATATACATCTAATATACATCTTTAAATGTATATTTCACATCTTTTATGCATCTAAGGCATTTATTTTATCGAATAAAATGCATCTGAAAGACATCTATAAGACAGACATCTATTTATGTCCCGTTCACGATGTGAATTTAGACGTCTTTTAGACCAGTTTTTAGATGATATTAAATGCATTTTAGATATCTCTTTCTTTGCTGGGACTTGTTTGATACAAAGGTGTTACAGCGGTTAAATTAGTCATAAAAAAGGATTAAACTAAATAAGTAAAGAAACATTTTAACTAACATTATTTAATTTTTATTTCACAAAAATATACATAAGAAACTATATTTCTGCATTGCCGTCAACATTTTCTTCCACGTCGCCAATATCTAAAATATATACATTAATGACATTTAAATGACATGAATTCTGACTCTATTTTTATGAAATATTATATATATATATATATATATATATATATATATATATATATATATATATATATATATATATATATATATATATATATATATATATACACACACATACAGTATCGGACAAAACCAGTGCAACCAAATGATGCTAATTTAGTTTCTTTGTATAAAAGTGCTGTATTTTTTCAATTTAGAGAAATAACTATGTAACTGTTTAGAGACTACGTTCTTCAAATTTTATTCATCACAAAGTTCATTATTTGTACACGAAAATTAATAAATTAATCAAAAGTATTAAAAAAAGTTGATTTCCTTCTGGACAAAACAAGTGCAACTTCCCAAAATGTTGACCAAGCTGTATTCATATCAATATTTTGTGGTGAATCCTTTGTTGTCGATCACAGCCTTGCATCTTTAAGGCATAGATTCGATCAGGTGATCAATGAAACTCTGTGGAATCGCTGCCTAGGCCTTTTGGATTTGTTCAAACAGTTGATCTTTATTACGAACACATTCATGATGAACTCTGCGGTTGACCATCTCCCACAGGTTCTTGATAGGGTTGAGATTCGGAGATTGAGGCGGCCAATCCATCACCAATAGATGGTTGTCTTGAAACCACTGCTTGACTACTTTTGCAGTGTGTTTGGGATCGTTGTCTCGCTGAAAAACCCATTTTATTGGTATATTCCATTCAGCATGAGGTAACATAACATCTTTCAGGATATTTTTATACATGAAACGGTCCATTATTCCATCGATTCGATGTATTGGACCTAGAGCATTAGCAGAAAAACACCCCCAGACCATTACATTGCCTCCACCATGCTTCATAGTATATATATGTATGCTGCAAAATGGCATTTGTCTGCCTGTGTGCTGTCACCTGTCAGCTGATTGCTCATTTCATGGCATGCTATGACTCCAGACTCCTGAACTGTTTGCTGTGGTAGTATAGTTCGTTTTATTTTTAAGACATAAAATTAGGAACACTTTTTAGCATTGTTCGATGTTGGTTGCAAATTTTTTGTCTAATACTGTATATACACATATATATATATATATATATATATATATATATATATATATATATATATATATATATATATATATATATATATATATATATATATATATATATATATATATATATATATATATATATATATATATATATATATATATATATAAACAAGAAGATTTGTATCTCAACCAGATACAATAACAAACAACAATTTTTTTATGAAAAAACTAAAGGAACTTGTATAATGGATACAAAAATTCTAGCATGACACAAAAAAGTCGAAGAATATCTTTTTAATACAGATATCAGTTTTGTAAATACTATTAAAACTATACCTCGTAAAACACTCCATATATTTACTAGATTTTCTAAGCTTATCTTTTCCCCATTTACTTTTCGATTTAATTTGGACTGTAACTGATTCGAAAATAACCTGATAAATATTTTAACAATAAACTGAAATATATAAAGATTTTTACTTTAATATAAGTAATAAATTAAAATATAGTTTAATAAATGAATGCTTAAAATTATGAAAGGTAAAAGCATTAAATTTGAAAATAAAATGCTAAACAAGGTTTAGCATTACACTTACTTTAGCACACAAACAAACTTAAACACCTACAGCAAAGCTCCCGAGTTTATCAAATTGTCATGTTAAAAGTAAATCCATAACAAATAAAGGTCAAAAAGAATCGCTTTTGGTCCCTTTTAATCATATTTCTAATAATTAATAAAAACATAATCATTTACCTTTTCATGATCAAAAAAACATGTTCTCTTGGCTTTCCACCACCAATCTTTTTTAAACTATCAAGCTGAAATAAATGTAATAAAAACTAGTGTAACTTAAATTTCTTTACAACATATTGAGTCTAACACAAGCTAGTTATTTTAGTTCATTTACAAATACTTTTTATTTAGATTCTAAACTAATAAACCAAATTTAAACAAACTTATTAAAAATTAAGATAATTAGATTATACCAAATTAGTATACTCGGTTTTATCTTTTAGTTTATTATCCAGTGTAACCACTTTGTCCACCAATTCTAGCAACTTCACCCCAGTAGTCACCTGAAACTTAATTTCTATAACTTCTTTTAAAAGAACTTTTATTTCTGCAAGCTCCTTGAGAATAACATTTTGCAACTTTACAAACAAGATTAAAAAGATTGATTAACATATTTAGCTCATAAAACCAAATAGCAAAACAATAAATTAGAACTTTAAAATTCAAATTATGCTTGAGTAACTTAAACTAAAATTTCAACAATACATGTAAATTTTTTTATTACTCCATCGTAGAAGTTGCTATAATATTTTGGAAAACCTACATTTTAAATCAGCTAAAACTTTATCCTGTAAAAGGCTTTGATATTAAAGAATTTTGCTCAACTATTAAAGATAAAATGCTACACACATGATTTATCGGATTACAATATTATAAATAATCCATTTCTATTCTTTTATACCTATCTTTTACAATTATTTTAATACAAAAGCAAATTAATAAAAAAGACCTCCACATTAACATTCAGTGGTGTAAAAACCAAAATTACTCACATTAAAACTTAAAACTCTTTGACAATGTGAACTTTGCTTGGTGTTCATCAATGAAATGTGAAGAAAAATTATCTTCTTCAATCTTTGAATCTGATAACAACTCTATTCAAAAGAAATAATTATAATTAGAACTATAAATAATCCCTCAACAATACCTGTTACTTAAATTAATCTTTCAACCAATTTTGTACTCTTTCAATTTCTGAATTCAAACAACTTCAGCATGCTTTCAATCAATTTTCAATTTTCATATCAAGTTAATTAAAGGATTATTTAATACAATAGAGTGTTGTCAATGATATAAATATATGCAACCAATTCAACAACATTACATATAATAGGACACCCAAATAGTTAAAATAAAAGGAAAATCTTAGTAATACATAAAAAATACTAATAGCTAGATTGATATTATTCAGATCAAATTAAACAAGAATCTATTTCAGTTTATAAACCATTAAGAAAAAATTATGATATTTATGTTATACTTTTAGCATTGGGCTTATTCATAATAGGTGGCGGAGGTTCTGGCAATGAAGAGCGGTATGATTTGTTATTCTTATTTTTAATGCTTTCTCTAACATATATCTCATCTGATGTAGAATGTTGTATTCTTCACAACATGAAAATGAATCTAATTATAAAACATTTTGCTACAAAAAAGTAATTAAGTTACCTTTAAATAAAATACAAAACAAGTTTGATACTGACTATCTGTTATCTTACACTTTATCAATGGAAATTTGTGCCATTCTTTTGTTGACAAAAGGTTGTTTTTAAGTGCATGATTATAGTTTTTTTTGGGACAATAAATTTATTTCTATTATTTGTCAATCCACTTGTTTAGTGCATAATTACTTGGTTAGAAAAACATGCAGAAAAACTTCCCTTTAAAGTTGGGTTATGCTTATACTCATTAGGCTTTTGGTCATAAGAGTATTCATTGTACAAAATCGATGAATCATGATGGTCAAAATATTCTTTTAGATTTTCGCAAGATAAGAAATCATTTCTTTTAGAAGTTCCAACATTCGATTTTTTTTCTATATGTACTGATGAAAATTCAATAGTCTGATGAAAATTTAATAGTCTTTTTGGACACGTCTACTGCGTCTCTTTTCGTATGCCCTTTTCGTAAAAGACATAAATTATATGTGTTATTGAAAAACACTCATATTATGAGTGTTTTTCAATAACACAAAAGATTGTTTTATTGGTTGTGCACTTATCGTTTTTATCGAGAAACCAAGATTCATATATGGAGTCATATATATATATATATATATATATATATATATATATATATATATATATATATATATATATATATATATATATATATATATATATATATATATATATGTATATATATATATATATATATATATATATATATATATATATTTTAATTACATTATCTTTTATTCTAGAAATAAAAATATCAACTAGAAAATATTAATTTTGTAATATTTCTGCAAAATAAATTTTAAATCACAAGGATTTTAGCAAACATGCTAAGCATCAAATCATCGAAATATTTTGTGAACTATAATAGCATGTTATTTTATTTTTTTTAAATTTATCAAAAGAAATAATCACTAATGTTTTCCATAGGTTAAAATCTTCATGCTTTTTTCGTTATAAGTTTAAGCATGGTTTTTAAATGGCGGTCATTTATAATTGTCGCTCCGTAAAATTAGTTGAAATTTTTTTCTTGTTTTTATAACAAATCTATATAAGACATCTTATAAACATCTAAGTTTAGATAAAAAAAAAATTATCTATGCACAATCTATTTTATGCATCTAATATGCATCTAAAACAGAGCAAAAATAGTATCTCTAGAATCAGACGTCTTTTTGATCTCTAATATACGTCTAAAATCGATCGACATAATTATAAATAAAAAATTAATCAAATTTTAGGGGGGGCACGAGCCGGCTGTGCCCCCCTCTAAATCCGCGCCTGTTCTCACATCTAAAGTGTCATTGTTCGCTGACGACAGTACCATTTATTATTGTCATGATAAGAAGCCTATGCTCTCTTATTGCTTGGAGAGGTTATCTGAGCTTGAAAAGGATCTCATCTTTGCTACAGCATAGGTCTCACAATGGCTAGTGAACTTTATTTCAGATAAAACTATATATATATATATATATATATATGTATATATATATATATATATATATGTATATATATATATTTATACATATATATATATATATATATATATATATATATAATATATATATATATATATATATATATATGTATATATATATATATATATATATATAAATTATAATAGCATATTGTTTTTTAATAAACTAATATATAGTCTTTCATCCATTCACTTACTTATTTTAAGAATAATCAAATATAAAAAACGTTTAAAGTTAAGAACAGTTTTGATCTTTACTTGTGTGATTCTATCGCCAAGTTTCATGAATGTGATCAATCATTTCTTGATACAAATGTTGCAAAAAGTAGTATATTTTTTATTATGGTTAAATGTTTAGTTTTCTTTGTAAGGGTAAATTATTATCATTAACTACATAAAAAATGTTAACATTTAATTATATACACAATGCTCACTTTACAAATAAACAATTTACACAAAATTTTTGAATTGATTAAAACACTAATGAATTGCTTCTATGCCCAATATAACTTACACTAAATTGTCCCATTCAATTACATAGTGTTATCTTTTGAATTTAGAAATAGAAGTTATTAAATGTTGGTGGCTCATCATTCAGTGCATTTAAGAAAGGCATGCTTTGAAAATAAGTATAATTTTAATATAAATAGAGCATTTTTAATACCGCAATTATATTGCATACTTGATATACATAAATATATACGCTGGTCACAACAATCCAGTCAAAAATTTCTTTAAAAAAATAAATTTAGTGTTGAAAAGTTTGTATTTTTTGATGTTTGATGTTATGTTTGTAAAATAATAATTATATATATATATATATATATATATATATATATATATATATATATATATATATATATATATATATATACGTATATATATATATATATATATATATATATATATATATATATATATATATATATATATATATATATATATTTATATATATATATATATATTTATATATATATATATATATATATATATATATATATATATATATATATATATATATATATATGTGTGTGTGTGTGTGTGTGTGTGTGTGTGTGTGTGTGCGTGCGTGTGTGTGTGTGTTATTTATTTCTTTCCCCTTTATTTTTACATACTTATCTTGACAATATTTTTTAGGGTTAACACTGCTCCCCTGATTCCTACAGCAAAAAAACAACTTTAAAATGCTGGTGGTAATATTTTAAAGAGTGCACCTGATCGAAAAGAAGGTGAATAACGTCAATTGTTCGAACAGTCGATTCTTGGAAATTAACAAGTGGAAGAAGAAGTTTATAAAATTGTAATTTATAAAACTCATCACAATTATATTATTAAAAAATTTAAACGATTTATTATTTTTTTCTTATTCTCAAGAAGTTCTGTGAAAACATATATTTGAACCTCACGTTTAAGTAAAGCCATGTTAAAACACGTATTTTAGACGTCGAAATGAGAACGTCTATATTAGGTTATTTAAAGACGTCATTTGGCGTTTTCATTCAGCACTAGTTTTGAACGTCCTTAGTTCACGTTTAAAAACACGTTTTTATTCTGTCCTAAAAAGACGTCCTAATTACGTCTTAAAAAGACGTCCTAATTACGTCTTAAAAAGACGTCATCTGGCGATGCCATTTAGAGCCAGTTCCGGACGTCCTAAAAAGACGTCCTTTCGACTTATGGACGTTGCCGTGCCCACTGGGATGTCCTGTTCTGGACCTGAACTTAGACATCTTTTAGACAAGTGTGTAGATGCATATTAGATGCATTATAGCATAGTCATAAGAAATAGATAGTCTGGAAGCGAACAATGACCGATTGTTTGAACTTATTGTATTCGATTTTTGCTATCCCCAGATCTCCGACCCTGCACAAGTTTTCAAAAATCCTATTGTTTTTCTAACGAACTAACTGTTTTTCTTTAGAGAACTCAATAGAAATTACAAATGCCGAGTGAAAACTGTTTAATTTATGGATGTTCTGCCTCTAGAAGATATACTGGAGTTGCTTTCTTTAAAGTTCCTAAAGAAACGGATAATTTTACTAAAAAATGGGCTTCAGACTTAACATTATCACAAAAGATCGAGTTGTTGATGATATATCATCAACAACTCGATCTTTTATCGAATATCGATATTCTTCGAAAGAAAATAAACGATTTTGAACATACAAAACTATGGATTTGCGAGCTTCACTTTTCTTCTGAGCAAATTTGGTGTTATGAAATAAAAAAAAAGTTGAAAGATAGGGAGCTACCATCACTAAATTTACCAAGTAAAAGCACAGAAGCGCCAGTTTCAACTGTTGTTTCTCGATCCTCGTCGTCCATATCTAAGCGAGATGATTCCCGACGGGCATTTGTTTTTAAAAGTTACGATCTAAATGTATTTTAAATGTCTTTTAAACGTCTTTTAAACATTAATGTTTAAAAGACGTTTAAAAGACATTTAAAACACATTTAGTACGTAACTTTTAAAAACAAATGCCCGTCGGGTTATCAATTACTTTTTGAAAGTTCTTCAATCGAAAAGTCTTATTGTTATAGAAACTTTGTGGACTTCAAAAAACGTCTTTTTAATTTGTCTTTATTAAATAAGTTATGGAAGATTGAATTTTTTGATAATTTATGTTATGTTTCGTTTAAGTTATTAGAAGAAGTCATTCCAAAATTTGAAATTTTTGTAGAAGATTATATTTTATATTTCGTGTGTATGGATGGATGTTACCCGAAACTCATGATTTGTATTTGAAATATAATAGATCATTTCTTAATGTTGTTTTTTCACAACTTATTTTTGAAATAGAATCTTTAGAAGTTTGCAATGAAATAAAATTTCCTGATCCTATTGAAGTGTTAAATTTTCAGAAGCATGTTGTTCCTTAAACTTTTGATTCTTTTGTTTATAAAAACTCTTTAATAAAGTCTAAACTGCATCAAATTGAATTTTATCGCAGTCAATCATTAGTTTTTGGAAAAAATCAACCATGCAGATTTTGTCATAAACTGAATATTAAAGGTCATTCTAATATGCTATCTAAAAAGTCTACTCTTAAAACTCCTGCTAAATTAAATGCACCCATCTCTGTAACTTCCCCTAGTAGAGTTAAACTGGCTTTGCAGCAATGCAGACTTCAATGCAAACAATTCAAAGAGGATTTTGAACTAATGAAATCTGCTTTTGACAAATCTAGTAAAAAAATTTGCTCAGAACTCAGTAAAGATTTGATCTCAATATATTCAGCTTGTGATCAAAAAAATTTATCACCTTTTATGAAGTTGTTTTGGGAAGAGCAGCAAAAGTATTTGAGCTGTTCTAATCTTTCATCTATCAGATATCACCCCACAATAATAAAGTATTGTCTAAACCTTGCTGCTAAATCGTCATCTGCTTAAACTGATTTGCAATATGATTCACAGACAGGTGAAGGTATTTTAACTCTCCCAAGCTTAAGAACTTTAAGAGATTACAAAAATTACATCCGACCTACTAGGGGATTTAATCCAGCTGTTTTAAGTGAGCTTGCCAAAAAAACACAAAATTTCCTTTCTCATGAAAAGTTTGTTTGAATTATTTTTGATGAAATGAAGATCCAAGAAGATTTAGTTTAGGACAAATATACTGGAGAGCATATTGGTTTTGTTGATTTAGGCGATAAAGAAATTAACATTTATTTAAAAAATGTTAAAGAATTAGCTACTCATATTCTTGTGTTTCTTGTAAAGAGCATTGTAAATCCTTTATCATTTAGTTTAGCTACTTATGCAACTACTGGAATTACATCATCTCAGCTAATGCCTATTTTTTGGAAAGCTGTGTGTTACCTTGAAAATATGAATTTAAAGTTATTTCTGAAACAGCTGATGGTGCCTCTCCAAACAGAAAATTTTTTAGAATGCATAAGAACTTAAATATGAACTTATGTAATTACAGAGCACAGAATATTTATTCCAATGAAAAGCTTTATAAATATTTTTTTTCAGATGCTCCACACTTGATTAAAACAGCTCGTAACTGCCTTGGGAATTCTGGTTCTGGATGAGGTACTGGATGAGGTAATTTGGTTCCCCAGAATACGCTGGAACTGCTCAGTTTTGTTTAATGATGGATAAATTTTTTGACTGTTTAAATGTTTCAAGTAAAAATAAAGCTATCAAAAACTTAAAAGAAAATCTAAAACCGTATGAATCTGTTAATGATGTACGTTTTGAATAGCTTGACAATTTTCTTTTATATTTTAAAAACTAGAAAGAGTCTATTGACAATCGAAACGACAGGAATTATACTGCTAATGCTAAGATTAATATGTTTATTTCTATGCAAACTTATGAAGGTATCCAGATAACTGTACATTCATTCAAAGAAGTTTGTAAGTTTTTCTTTGAACATGGTGTTCCTTATATTCTTTCAGAAAGATTTTGTCAAGATGATTTAGAAAACTACTTTGGAAGACAGCGTGCTATTGGCAGCAGATGTGATAATCCTTCTGTCAGAGATGCTGGGTATAATGACAACACTATCAAGTCATAATATTCTGTTTGATCTATTGTTGGTAATGTCCAATGTCAAAGACATAATTTTAATGAGATAAATGATTCACCATTGCCTAAAAGAAAAAAAGTCTGACTAAATAGCTAATTAACTTTTCCAAAGTCCCAGACTGTGACTGTGACTTTTGATCCTGTCAAAACAGCTATTTTCATATCTACATATAAAAATAAATACATTATTGACTAAGAATTTACTTTTTGTGCTTGTGTCAATTTTTTTCTATATTTATTTATTTTGTCAAAGCAGGCATTCCTCTTTAATATAAAGAAGCATTTTTTAAAAAATTACTATGATACTCTTGGGTGCTTACCCCAGCTATAAACTTTATATCGATCCCTATCCTTGTATCAAATACCTGAAGTTTTTACATTAAATTAGGTGAGATATTCTTAGTTTAGGTTGATAGGTCTCTAAGGTTATGCATTATATAGTATTTGTGCAACATTAGGTGGAATTCATAAAGTACGTTTGCAGGTATGGGGTAGGAGTAAACAGGAAATGTTCAAAACAACAAGTACATACACGATTTCACTATCGTCTTCATGAATTTTTCCTAAAGTTTGATTTCTTTTTTAACAAAAAGCAATGCATTTTTCTTCTGGGTTTTTTACTCAACTGCAACATTTGTTGTCCTTTTAAACTGCCTAGCTTTTAACTTAATACAGAAAATCTTGAATTAGCAAAAAGCTTTGATCTTGTTTGTTTTTAATATTTAGAAATTTTACTGGAAGAGGGTCTCAATTTTCTAATTATTAATCTATACACTGAGATGCCTAATAAAAAATGGGTTGGGGACAAACAGGTGGGTGAAATTTTTGTTCAGATCTAATAAATAGGTAGAAACTTTAAGTTTGACTAATAAGTCAGTTTATCTAATACGTATGACGGCTAAACGCTTAGCTCGATGAGTGGATGTCAAGACAGTCGGGAGTATGATCAGTGGAGCTGACTTTCCAGACGACTTACGCGGATTTGCGTGCGGTGGATACAACACCTGGTATAATATGTGAAGGGTTCCATCTAGTACAGGGACTAATAAGTGACTAATAAGTCAGTTTATCGCTTTAAGTTTTCATGG